GGGTGAGAGCGACTTTACCTCGTGCCAGCAGCTGTACATGACGGCATAGACCCGCTCTGAGGCCTGCTGCGGCCGGTACAGGCGCAGGCCTTGGATGACGTGCTCCGTTGTCTCGCTGTTGTTAAACCTCTCGTAAGGCATTTTTCCCAGGGAGTAAACTTCCCACATCAGAACACCTGTTGGAGGAAACGGCTGAGGCAGGAGCGCCTGTGCCTGGAGCTGGATCGCAGAGGAGCTCGCCGATGTCGGGGCACCCTCTCTTCCCAACCTCCTGAGTCGTTAACGCTGTGCTCTTACCAAAAGCCCAGACATCAGACTTGCTGCTGAACTTGCTGTACAGAAGCACTTCAGGGGGAGACCACCGCACTGGAAACTTTGACCCCATGGAGCTCGTATACTCGTCGTCTAGTACGTACCTGCAGCAGGTAGATGGATCAGGGTGTGCCTGTCCTGGATTTCATGTTTCGCTCCTCCATGCAACTAACCAAGCCCCAAAGGAGTCAAGAGCTCTTTTTGCACTTCATAGGGGCTTCAACAAGTGTAACTGTGTTAGTCAAGATTGGGGAAGGGGTAGAAGCATAGCAAAAAGGGGACGTGGGGAGACTAGAGACGGGGGAAAGAAGCAGCAAAGAGAGGGAGAAGAAAGAAACGGATGGTGGAAAGTGGAGAGGCAGATGGTTGAGCTAGGTAGATGAAGTGGAAGGACAGGAGAAGAGGGAGGAAAGGCAGACCTGGAGGATGTTGGGGAGAAAGACTATAAAGTGTAGAAGAGACTAAAGGAGGAGATGGGGGATGGAGACAGGGAGGTGACACAGGTGTATCTACCAGACCTGGAAAGGCCAAAATCTGATACTTTCACAATTCCTTGGTCGTTCACCAAGCAGTTGCGAGCAGCCTGTGGATGGAGAGATGGAGGCAGTCACTCCTGCCTGCTCCTGCCTCTCGTGTCCCCCTGTACTGTCTGGAACTTCATCTCACCCCCACCCATTTAACACTCCGCCTCACTTTGTCCTGCAGGTTCATCTGAACTGGGGCAAACTACAAAGTCCTCAACAAAGGTAGCAAGAGAGGCTTCCAGGCATCCTGTTTACCTATGGAGGAGCAACTGCGGTGGCAGGATTTTGCCTAACAAAAGCAGCAGCAGGAGGAGATCAGGTACAGCACCTAGCAGAACTGCAAGCCCGCAATTCCAGCCCAGGGCCTGACAAACTGCAGCGTTTTGTGAGGATCAAGAGGTCCCTTTTCGTGCCTGAGCCAGCAATGCTGTCTGTGCTGCCTAATGCAAACCCTGCCCTGGCCACAAATGTATTTCCCACCCCCTAGAAAACTACCTCGTCGTGCCTCTTCTGCAACCTGTGCTAACTGACTGCAGAGCAGTGACTTCAGAGCATGCCACCTGTGCTCAGGTAGGCAGGGAACCTTAGAGGGACGTTCTGCAGAGAAGCTGCCTCTCCTCATGTCGATTGAACTAGCTGGGCCCTGTCTAGGACATGCCATGGCTGGAGATGGGTCGTTCAGCCACAGCCTTACCAGGTCTCGGTGCAGGAACTGCTTGGATTCCAGGTATGCCATAGCTTCACAAACGTCCTTGCACATCTCCAGCAGCTCGACGGGCTGAAACCGCCGCCGAGTTTCCCTCAGGAAGTTCAGGAGGCAGCCGTTGGCCATGTACTCAGTGATGATGAAGATGGGACGCTGCTTGGTGCAGACTCCGTAGAGCTGCACCAGCTTCTCATGGGACAGATTCCTGTGTCAGGGACAAGAAGGGAAACTTTGAGCGTCTGGAAGGCCAAGCAGCAAAAGAAGCATCTGTGAATAAAGAGAGTTTGGGAAGGGAAGGTTCTCCTGGCCCAGATGATGGTGGAAAACCTTGCTGGGGAACTGGCACAGTAGGTTCTCCGAGGCGTACTGCAGAGTGTGAAGCTGCCTGAGACTGTCTCTCCACACCACCCAGGAGTGCAGCCATTCCGGCGAGGCATATCCAGCACTGACCTGCAGCCTCCTCACCACTTACATCATGACTTTGGCTTCATCGATAAACTCATCCTCTGACATGGAGCCCTCCTTGATCATCTTGATGGCAACGTCGTACTGGCCTCTCCATTTCCCGTACTTGACCACGCCAAACTGTCCTGTGCCCAGTTCCTTCAGGAAGGTCAGATCCTTCGGGTCAATCTCCCACGACCCTAGGACAGAGAGTACGAGTGTAACATAGGTCCAGGTCACCTCCGTGCGCAGTGCTCCCAGTCAGCTGATCTAGCAAGCCCAAAAAGAGCTCGTGAGCCTGTGTTGCCTGAAAAAAAGGTTGCAAAAAATCCACGAAGTCTGAGACCTGTTCCTCCAGGGGACGGGGAGGAGAATAGCTTGTGGTGTCTCTCACTCAGTGCTGTCACCAGAGGATCACTGAGTGTTGAGAAGTGTTGGGAATTGGGAGTTTGAGAAGGCTGTGAGCCGTGCTGCCGTGGGACAGCCAGGGAAATTTCTGCTGGTGGAAGCAGGCTCTGCAAGCAGGGAGCTGCGAGGTAGCCCAGGTAAGCTTACCATAGCCAAGGCCCGCTGTGGAAGGAGCACTTTTCTGGTGTTGAGACACAGGGTACTTCAGTCTGGATATAAGCCCTAAAACACACAAAAAAGATAGATTGCCACACCGCACTTACCCGCCATGTTCCAGCAGGAAACACAAGCCACCTGCCCGCAGCGCAGGAAAGTGAGAATACTGTCGTTTCAGTAAAAGAACCGCTGGCCCCGCTCTGTCTCCTAACCACTGACCAGCAGAGTTGTGCTGATGGTACGTGATGAGTTCTGGGATGGTGTTGAACAGGTGCTTTTCAGCCAGGTAATACTGATTCCTGGGGGTGCAGCACACGACGTAATGGCGGATTGTGCCTTGGGGATCTCTGGAGAGACATAATGAGGGGCTCAGCAGCACAAGGAGGACAGGCTGAGGGTGAGGGGTGCCTGGGGGGGCTCTCTGAGGTAGGAGGAAGCTGTTCTTAGATGCACTTACACAGAGGACTTGGCATAGACGGAGACAGTGTATTTCCCTGTCTTGCTGGTGGAGTCTCGGACAATGAAGCCCCCTTCCTTACCCTAAAACAGAAAGGGGGCAGTCAGATAAGTCAGGGGAGTCCTACTTGAAGTCCCTGCCTGGTGTCCACCCGCTGAAGTGCTCGTCAGGAGGAAGTCACGTTGGGGTAGAGACAGTTCCTCGACGCTGTTGGGGCAACACTGCCCTCCCAAGCCAAGGTCGGTCCCACGATGGACAGAATTTAACAGGAAGGACCCAGTCTCAGGGGTCAGCACTTACCTCCTGTTTCAGCAGTTGCTCCGCTTGGCTCCGGGTGATATTCTTGGAGTACCACCTGGAAGAGGGACACAGCCATCAGGGAGATCAGCAGAGCCACCACTGTCCCCAGCCTGGTCTGACACTGACCCAGCCAGGACAGACAGACAGAGCAGGCAGGGCTGGAGGTCCTCAAAGGGCGTGCAAGAGGGACAGCAGCTCAGCCAGGCTGTGCTCGCAGGTTAAGGGAACCGAACGCAAAAAGTCTCCGACCAAGTGCAATGCGCCACGTCCCTGCGCCTTCTTTGACTCACTCAAAGATCTCCAGGGAGTTGCTGGTTTCAGTGACGTAGTTGCTGGGGATGTATCCTTCCCTCCTGCAGGACAAAAAGGGCTGGTCACACACTCGTGGTAGGGGCTAAAGGAGAACAGGTTCCTGTCCCAGAAGGCTGAGTAGAAATGGGCTCAAAACCCTTGGCACAAACTTTTGTGGGTTCATGCTTGGGGAAGCCCAGTCACAGAATCACAGAATCACAGAATATTCGGGGTTGGAAGGGACCTCTGAAGATCGTCTAGTCCAACCTTCATCCCAGCACACCTAACCACTACACCATAGCCTCAAGTGCTAGATCTACTTTTTCTTTAAACACCTCCAGAGTTGGTGACTCCACCACCTCCCTGGGCAGCCTGTTCCAGTGCCTCACCACTCGCTCAGTAAAGAACTTCCTCCGAATATCCAATCTAAACTTACCCTGATGCAACTTGAGGCCATTTCCCCTTGTCCTGTCATTAGTAATTAGAGAGAAGAGACCAGCACCAGCCTCACTCCAGCCTCCTTTTAGGTAGTTGTAGAGGGCAATAAGGTCTCCTCTCAGCCTCCTCTTCTCCAGACTAAACAAACCCAGTTCCCTCAGCCGCTCTTCACAGGGCATGTTTTCCAGACCTCTCACAAGCCTTGTTGCCCTTCTGTGCACCCGCTCCAGCACCTCGATGTCCTTCTTGTACTGTGGTGACCAAAACTGGACACAGTACTCGAGGTGAGTATCATAACCTGCTTTCAGTCGCCTTTACCCTCCTCATCTGCCGTCCCACGCGGGAGCTCACAGGCAGGCAAGCCTGTCCTAAACCCCCACGACGCTGAGGAAGCATGTTTGCCCGCTTGCACCGTCGCGGGGCAAGTGCCACGGGCTGCGGGAGCTCTTACCCGTTCTTGTCACGGGCTTTCCACCAGGGCAGGTGGCTTTCCTCCAGGATGAAGTACTCCTCGCCCTTCTGCAGCTGTAGGTCCTGTGCGTTCATCGGCTCATAGTTGTAGAGAGCCACCACCTTCTTCATCTCGCCTGCTGTGCTGGGGGCTGGCTCGGGAGGCAGCGGTTTCATCACCATCTTCCCCAGAGCGAGGGAGAGCAGGGGACATGGTGAAGTTGGCAGATGAACCGTTCACCAGCAAAGGTCCTCCCCCAGGCCTGGCAGGGCGGTGGGCTCAGACCAGGTCAGCACAACATTCATCTCCACCAGCAGACTAGTTTCCCCCCCGTGGCGCTTTTTATTACAATATTTCCTCCTTGGAAGCCCATCCTCATAAAAGATAAGGGGTTTTTTCTCTTCCTTTTGGCTTAACCCATGACTCCTCCACACTGTATCAGGGCTTCTTTATCCTCCCAGCTTCCCCTGCGGAGCCTCAGGGGTGAGATCATTTGGGCTGACTCATTTAAGCTGTATTTCTTTTACCTTAAAGGGTTGGACTAGAAGATTCTTGAGGTCCCTTTCAACCTGGTATTGTATGATTCTATGACTCCTCCAGGCCTTAGGGCTCCATCTCCTGGTTCAACCTCCTCCCTTAGGCATTGTCTTGATATCCCTCTCCAGAGCAAAGCCCTGGCTTGTACATCTCTGAGCAATCCATCCTCCTTGTCATGGGGAGGGACATCTCTCAACTAGATCATCCAACATGTTGGTTTTTTCCCAGGTAGACCTTTCATGAAACGCCCTGGAGCAAACCCACCTGCTGATGCTGGCCCCTACCTGGTCCTCCTCAGGAGTTGGGGGAAGAGGCTTCTTTGTCTTGCGATGTGACCGCCCAACTTTTAAACCTTCAGGACAAAAAAGGGACTAAGGTGAGAAGAGATCCCCGGCATCACGCTGTGGTTGTCCCCAGGGGCTGGGGACAGGGCAAGGAGAGGGTGCCCAGTGTCTTACTGCCATTCTTGCTCTCCAGGATCTGGCAGCCCATGGCATTCTTGGCGGTCTGGGAGCAGCACAGGTACTGGCCGTCGATCCAGAAGCAGGGATGATACTTCTGTACCAGGTCACTGTTGTACCGGATCACTGTGGCAGAGGAGGGGAGGTGGTGTGTGACGTGGGGCTGTGTCCCCATCACGCTGCAGAGAGTTCTCTGCTCCCTGAATGCACACGATCGGCCCCATTAAATCATTTCACCATCTGCTGTGCTGCTGATAACACAGTTACATGTGACCCTGCTGCTTCCCTCAGCTCATTGCTCATGTTTCAGCGCTGTGGCTCTGCAAACCCTGTGCCACAGAATTCCTGTCTCAGGAAGGGCCAGGCCTTTCCTCTCAGATTTGATCAAAGCTCTTCAGCAGCTCTGCAAAGTGACACAAGCATGCCCAGACGACTTGGTCCTGCTGCGACAAGCCCTCTGGCCAAACGAAACGTGCAGCATCCCTAGGCCTGCTGAGGTCCATGGTTTGCAGCAATTTTGAACCCTTTTTTTTTTTCAGAACTGGGGAGGCCAGCGCTGTGCCTGGCTTGTCCACGGGGAAAGCAAGTGCCTGGCTTGTCCATGGGGAGAGCAGGGAGCTGCCACCATCCCCTGCCTGCTTAGAGACTTCCCTTGCTGCGACGCCGCTCCCTTGCCAGGAAGGCGCCGAGCGGCTTCCTCATGCTTGTCCTCAAGCCAGAGGGACAACTGCATGTACCTAAACACCACCGCAGCGCGGTGCCGGGCCCACAGTAGTTTCTCAGGGTGCAAAGAACTTCTCTGATGGAGCAGGCTGAGGGCACCCCAGCAGCCCATTTTCCCTGTGGATTTTATGCTGTCTTGAGCTGCCACAGCAACCCCTGTCCAATAACAAGGGGAATGGGGAGAGGACTGGCTGCCTGCCAGGGCAAAGCTCTCATGAAATAACTGACTTCCCCGTTATCAGCCTGCTCTGCTTCCGCCTCGCTTGGGCAAACTTCCCCATGTCAATTTAAGCAGCTAATCTCACCCCAGCAGCACAAAGCCACAGAAAGATACACATGCACCAAGAGAAACATGCAGGCAGCTCCGGCAGATTTCAGCAGGCTGCGAGCACCCGAGCCCCTCTGCAGGGTGCTGCTGCGACTCTCACCTCGAGGAGGTGGCACCCACACAGCTGAGTGTTGGCTCAGGAGCATGGCGTGAGGCTTGGAGCGGGTTGGGAGGGATGCTCCTTGTTTCCTTTGTCCATGATGTGACATTTTTGTCCGTGTTTCCTAAAGCACCAGGCAAGCCTCCCCTCACCTCGCGTATCAATACAGCTGTGTGGTCACATCTGCTATCTCCTCTTGCCCTCTGTAACTTCTGAGCCTGCTCAAGCTAATTCGGAGTAGGCTTACGAGAGGACAAGAAGCCACCAAGGTGGTGACATACATGAGTGTCCACATCCCCCAGGCAGGATGGTGTCAGCTCAGGGGTGTCAGAGACCGTGCACACGGGGACATGGCTTTAAGAGCGTGCTCATCACGGGAGAAGTTTCTGATCAGCGCTTACTCTTCTGTAGCCATGAGATAACGTAACTACAAGATAGCAAGCCTCCGGAAATGGAGTGCTCTGGGTCATGCCGCACGCACAGCTGATCGCTTATTTGCTTCCTGATGAGCTGCAGAGCCCCCA